TAAAATTAATAGAAAAAATGAACATAGTTTTAAATTTCAGTGAGTATCACCTATACAAAGAGCCTCAAAAATTCAGAATTATAATCTAATTTTTAGTAACAAAAAATAATTAGGATATTTCTTGCAAATCTTTAATGCTATGTCTTCCAAGTCTATTTATGAATAGTATAATAGTTTTAAATAGTTTTTAAAAATTATTTTGACAAATGAAATGAATAAATGCGGCAATAGTTTAAAAAATGTTCAGATTTTTTTTCTGCCAGTCCTGTTCTCCTGAAAATGAACAGGAAAATAAGTTAAACAGTTTAGCATTACAGAAAAATCGGTCAATCCTTTTATACTGTATAGAGTTTATGATAAAAACAACAAAATTGTGGGAAAGGTTACTAGTTGATAAAACATATATATTACAGTATCTTTTCCCAACATCTTATTCAGGTAGGTAGATGAATTTTATTATTCTATGATTGGGATGTGTGGGGTTATTGTTTATCCTTGACAATGGGGAGCTACATATATGTGATAGATTTTCTCTGATGAACAGTTGAGTAAATCAACACACATACTTGCATACTTTTAAAGTACAAATTTAAAATGCCTAAAAGTATGCATTTTTCATTTTAAAGTGCAAGAGTAGATACATCTTAAGATGTTTTTAGAATATCTCACATAAATTGTATCCAATCATATGTGTGAGAACACTGTATATACAGTGGTGGAATTCAGCCAGTTTGTACCAAGATATTCTGGAACATATGGAAGCATCAAAGTAGAAGCGATCTGAAACTTCTGAAAGGAGCTGCTAAGCAATCCCAGGAAAATATATTGTCCCAAACACTTTGAAGTACCTTTATGGAATTGAATCCAAAGCATTAAGACAGATCATACTAATATCAACCAAAACACATACAGTATACTGTAGATATAAACAAATCTAAATATTGGATACATAAATTTGTTCTCTATTATTTTAGGCAGAATGAAATAGTCATTGTATCAGTAGAGTGAATACAGCTGCTAAATAGATCTGTAATTACTTTCTCACTTTTACTTTGCCAGTTACAGTGTTACTATTATCCAAAAAGGACCACAGTGTAAAATTTATTTTCCTTGCTTATACATGATGTCTTAAGCAAAGGATAAAATAGTTATTCTATCAGCAGAATTTTTATTGTATGAATTAAAAGCCATATTTAGATCAAAGTCTTTATACAGTATTTATTGATTGCCCTATTTTGTAGAGATATTTGTTTGATAATAGATGTTTGGAAAATTTATTCTTCACAGAATCAAACTACATAAAAATTGTCATGACTAGTCTTTACTGTCATTTCCATATTTCTTTTCCATGTATTATCATTTCACCTGCATTTTTAACTAAATTAAATATGTATCGGAAGTGTGATTTAATAATCAGACCCCACCTAGCAAATTTTAAATAGGATTGTTCTAGTGCAAGCCATGAGTATTTCAGACAAGGGAAAGGCAGGGAATGGAGAACTGATGCAGAAATCCTTAAGAATTTCTCACATCATAGCACAAGTAGACTCCTATTTAAACATGCACATGCACACACACACTTTATAATAAACACTACAAATGCTTCCACAGAGGCTCAGTGTTCTTTTATTTGAACGTGTTGTCATCCCTCCAGCTGCACTGCTGTCCTCCAATGCAGCTTGCAGTCTTGAGAACCAAATAGCATCCGGAAATTGTTGCTATTCTCTACACATTTTCACCAATGCTAGCAGTGGTGAGCAGTTCCCAGTCTTCTACCACCTTTTGGTGATAACACTAAAACTGCTTGTTTTTTAATGGCAACATGTTTAATTTCTGAAAATGAAGTCCTCTTCCCATTGTTTACCAGCTACTAGATTCCACAGCAGTTGGATATCATAAAAACAGGATTTTCTCTTTGAAAATTTTTTTTCATCTTAAAACCATCCTCTCTACTCTTTACCACTTCTGTTTGCTTCCTTTTTATTTTTGTAGTGCCACTACCTTTCAACACCCTTTGACCTTTTCTAACTCTTTTATCATTTTCACTTTTTCCACTAAAAGCAATGGCTGATCGCCAAAGTAAAAGCCTGCTTGGCCATGTTAGAATGTTTGGGAAAGCTTTTACTTCAAGGTTAGCACTTTGCTTCCTAAACTGCTAGCAAGATGTGTAAAAAAAGAAAAGAAAATGAAGCTACTTTTTAAAGAAAAGTAAAGGAAGTTCAGTGGAATTCTTGCAGTTACCATAGTTATAAAATAGTCAAAGGAAGTCTGCAAGTGTCCTGACTTTCATTTTACAATCATTTTGTAAAGTGGCAATGTTATTTATTGATTGATTGATTTCAATACAATTCCAAAGGTATACCTGCAAACATGAGGTAGCTCTTTCCTAAAGGTCTTTACAAAGCCTAAGCACCTGAAAGCCTGCAGAGGGCTTAACAGAAAGATAGCAGAACTGTGGCACCTGCTTCCTTCTTATAAAAAAATTACAAACAAATAGCAACAAGACATTCTAACGGAATTTTAAAGAACCAAATCATTAGATAGGGGAAAAAACATTTCAGAGAAGAGAGTTTTCAGGCAACTACATGTTTCTGAAACAGTAAACGTATAGTAGCACTTTAAAGTTTTTATTTAGACTTCTATTAAAAATGAATAATTACTACATATCCAAAAATGGACTTCATTTTGTACAGAAATTAAACACATTTAACTGGTGGAAAACTTGTAATTGCTCTCTGCCCCTTGCTTTTTCTGTGTGTTTGTAAAGCCATGATTTGAATCCTTCCAATATAAATAAATGATACCTCTGACATAATCACATCAATGTTAAGCCAACAAAGTGTAATGTATAATTTTAGCATGGCTATACCTTAGCATATATGCTATGGCTTAGCATGGAAATATGGTCCTGCATATTTCATTGTAAACCATTTTGACAGTTGTGCATTCCAGCTTCACTTATCTATGATCAACACATTGTTTGGGTGTGGTGATTTCTATTCCATTATTGTTTTTTTAAGTGTTTTAGTTTTCAATAGCTATGTCCATTTTTATAAACATCAAAATACTACAAACCAATATTTTGAAACATCTGATATAATTTGTTTCAAGGAGAATTCTGTAACGCTTTTAACTGTTTAACCAGACTTGCTCAGAAATTTACAGTGGGTTTTACAGCAACATTTTCAATAATATCCATGCCAACACTGAAAAACTAGCAAATGTAAACTAAACAAATATAATTTTACATGTATCTATGACTAGCAGGTATTTTATATAAACCAGAAAAGGACCATCTTGTCCTCATGTCTCAAATATCTTTACAAACAACATAGATGAAGAGCTTATAGATAAAGCTTGTCAAATTTGAACAAGCCATCACACTGAAAGGAACAACATTTAAAACAATAAGTAGAACAGAAGCCAAAACTAACAAAATGAATTTCTATACAACTTTGCATTTTAGTGCAGTATCACATGCATGATGTTGGGCAGAAGATTTATTGATTGTACTGTAGTCCATAAGAAGACAATTAAGGAATTGGCAAAGCACAAGCTAAATATTAATCCAGAGCAACAGCAATGAAGTATAAGAAATTCTACTCATCATTAATAGGATAGGTAGCATCTATTTTGTACTGACTGACATTAGGACATATTCTTGAATAGCAACAACCTACAGCAGAAAAAGGGGCAGTTGAGAGGAAATGTAAAAACTTTTTAAAATATCTGATGGGCCATCACTTAGTAGTTGATGGACAGATCAACAGATTTATTGATACCCCATATAATTTTATCCTGCTCTCGAATTCTAGGGCTGTAAACTTCATCTCAAGCCTGCCTTAAGAGCTCATCTTAGGTAGTTGGTTAACATGGTCAGCCTCTCGATCACGTCTCCGGCAACCAAGACAAATTCTGCAGCCTGCCTTGCGAAGGTATGTTCCCACCTTCAAAGCACGGTGAATGGTGAGGAAAGCTTCACTCCCAGTTCGTCTTAGGCCAGTCTTAGCAGACACAAAACACTCCACCTAATCGGTGGTTTTTATTTGCGAGGGGAGAAAAAAACCCCAAAATCTTCTGCGGTTTTGCAGCCAAAACAAGCCAACGAACTTTTTTTTTTGGTCACCTTGGAAAGTGTCCTCGGTTACTCCCGGGTCCCCGCAACGTCTGAAGCCCAAACCCGACCGGCTCAGCTCCCCAATTGTTGCCGGGAGAGACGCACGCCTCTCGGCAGCAACAGCCAAGCTCGCCTTCCTTGCCAAGCTTGCTAATCAAATCAAAGCGAGCCGTGAGTGGGGAAGAGGCAGGCAGGAGCCCTTTACCCCCTTTTTTACTTCTTTGCAAGCAGCCTAGTTAGTAGAAAGACCCGGGAGCGGGCTTTTGTTTGCTCCCCTGCCCTGAAAAGTGAGAGGAAAAGCCTGCCTGGAAAGCGGCGAAGGAAGAGCGCCCGCACCGAGAGCCTCCCCGTCGCCACAAGATGCTCCTCGCCAAAAGAGGGAAGATTTAAGGCGGCGTCGAGTTTGGCAGCTCCTAAGCGCAGAGTCCTCTCCCCACCTCGGCCAACCGTCCTCCATAGCAGCCCAAACTGAATGCTAAAACAAGTACCCCACCACCACCACCACCCAGAAGAGAGGGGAGAGAAACCTCAGGAGACTTACAGCCTAGGGACCCCAAGAGGGAGAAGAGAAGCCAGCAGAGGAAGCGGCGGCAGCTCGCCATCTTCCATCCAGAGCAACAGCTGCTTCCCCCCCGCCCCCCCCCCCAAGACAAACGAGAAAAGTGGCTGGCGGGTGGCGGCGGCTCCCTCCGACTGGGGGAGAAAAATCGATGCAGCAGCTGAAAGCCTTGGCTCCAGCTTCACTGCTGCTCCTCCCTTCCTCCGCTTGCGCACCTCGCGGAGGGGAGGGGGGAGCTTTGCTTTTAGTAGGCCAGGGCTTGTGAGTGAGTGTGTGTGTGTGTGTGTGAGTGTGCAAGAAAGCGAGAGTGAAGGGAGCGGAAGGGTTGGATCCTTGTAAGCGAGTGGGCAAGAGGTAACCGGAGGGGTCTTTGAGCTGAGCCCTCCATCCACTTTGGGGGGTGGGCGCCCCAACAGAGAAGTCCTCGATCGCAGCAAGGTTGCGTTTAGCGCCAAAGTAAGCAATACGTCCAACTTTTATACCATTCTAACTGTGATTAGATGATGGTATGAAGATTGTATAAAGTATTAGTGTGGAAATGGTCCATGGAGATGCTCCAGATTTCCGTTAACGCTGCGTTCCAAGGAGCCACCAGCTAGCCAGCCTCATTTTAACAAAAAATAGCGTTTATGTGTATTTGTCACAATAGAATAGCATGGAATGGAATAGAATAGAATTATTACTGATATATGAAATCAAGTCGAGTCAACAATTGTTCTTTGCATCTGTCATATAAATGTGTAGGGCTTCTGCCTTTTTATGATGTCTTTTTTTCACACAGAAGAAATTATATTGATGGCTAGCCTTATCTGAAGACCTTTGTTCTTCCTCACTGAAGTCAATGGGTCAATAAACAGGAGTAAACAGGAGACCCCGCTCTCTAATGCTGGGAAAGGTGGAAGGAATGGGGAGGAGAGGTTGACCAGCAGGAAAATGGATGGACTCAGTTACAGTGATGATGAGCTGCTCAATGTGAGTTTTAAAAAATCAGGTGTAATCATGAGTTGTGGTTTGCCTTAGGCATAAAAGCCAATTGGGTGATCTTGGGCCATGGTCTCTCTCAGCCCAATTCACCTCATAGGAGGGTGACTGTTGTGGACAAGATAGAAGGCATATTCACTCCCTTGAAGTTTGTTTTAATGAAAATGTGACATTAAAAAATATTTTAAAAAACACTTCCAGGGATGGCATGAGACCCAATGCCAGACTTCTGCTTCTGAGTGGTTATGTGCTGGAATAAGATTTATTTTCCTTTTTTCAATTTTATTTTCAATATTCCCATCTACCCCTACAATGATTCAATACCGATAAGTAGTTGGGGCAGAATACAATTGAGTAGTCCCACTATAGGATCATATTGGTGTTAAAACAATGCCTGGATCAGATGAGGCAAGAAACATGCTTTTTTTCTTGGGCTCTGCATATTTTAGATTCTCTGAGTGATGTAGCATTTTGTCAAGCTATAACCTATTAGGGTTAGACATTAATGGTGATCTATGTTCTGACCTATTTGTAGCTGTGGCAGCCTTAGCAATTTGCTGCTTGAGTTTATTGCCACAATCCTGAGTACATAGTAGGACCAAATTAATTAATGGCGCCATTCTGGAATGTGCTATTACCAATGTTTGTCCTAATTTAACCAACCTCAGTGTGGTGTCCGCTTGCTCTGAATCTTGTAATGCACTAAATGAGCCAATCAATTTTACATCCTGTAAGTCATGTAAGTCCTTAGCAGAACCTTCTGCTACAACCTTCAGCTGTAGGTAACACAATTTGCTGATTAGATCTCTTCTTTCTCAAAATTGGTGCTGATGAAACTTTATTACTTAGGTTTATTGCAGTAATTAACCAGCACAAGATTGCTAGTCAAACATCCCGGAGATTCTCTGGATTCAATATGGTACGTTTAGATTTTAAAGTAATAACATTCTTTTGGGTAAACTGCTCTAGATGTGGGGTAGCTTTCTCTGATCAGAAGTCATATACTGCCAATAGAAGAAGGTGATTAGGAAGGGCTTCATTCTGAAAAGCATGCTAGAGACTGTAGATTGCTTAAAAGTTAGCAAAATTCACAGGCAGCCTCTTCTCAGTGGTAGCCATTTGATATGTAATAGAGCTACATATTTGATATGTAATAGACAGAATAACTGCTTTTTGGAATCTCATGACTCTCTGTTCACTCAATTATTGGAAATCTGCAAAATAATCTGACTGACATGCAAGTAATAATTGCACTTATCTCACCTTTGGCCCTTTTAGAGAGTTAAACCCTCAACAGTATTTCTTTCTCTTAGTAGCTTTAGGAGTAGGTTCAGCTCCAAATTCCCTGTTAACTGTTTGTTAATTGTTGGTATGACGTGTCTTTACAGCTTCTTCGTTTTTATTTTGGTAACTCTCACTATAGTACTTTACTCAGTGTACTTTACAAAAGGCTCCTTTTGTAGGTCAACCTTATTTTTGACTGAAGTAAAAAGTTTGAAGATCGAGATGACTGTTTACTCTGTGAGTTACTCTTTGTTTAGCTTTGAAGTCTGTTATTTTTCCCCATTATAGGTTCAAAACATCTCCATCTTGCAATGCGAGCTTCTGAACAAATAGCAGCAGCTGGGGAAGGCAGGGAATCCTTTACAACAGTGGTTCCCAAACTTGGCAACTTTAAGACTTGTGGACTTCAATTCCCAGAATTCTCCAGCCAGCTCTGCTTTACAACAAACTGTTCTAGAGAAAAGTTCAACACACTGTTGATTTTTAATTTCTATCTATAAATCCAATTTCAAAGAGCTATTAGTGTCATATCTGACTGGGGAGTAACTAGGGTCAGAGTTACTTACTGAAGTTGTCTGCTTATTGCTTATTAATCCTTTTCTACTGCTTCAAAGATTTGGTTGGGGTCTATGTTGTAGCTCCCTTTTGCTAATCCTTGAATCATGTTTTATATCTGATTCTGTTGTATCTGGACCAGATAAACAACTTCTCAGGTGTTAGTTTAATTTAGTTGAAAAAATAAAAAAAATAAAAAATAAAATGGCAGAGATTCACACATCACCATCTTCAGTCCATCCCTGAATTTAAAGGTAAGGCTTGACATTATAACATGAAAGCCCATATAATTAATGGAATTCCTGGGACTTTGAACAGATTATGCAGGAAAACATTACACCTGCAAGTCATGGATCAAAAATGAAATTAACTATCATACAATATCACTTGAACTGGACAAGGCTTTGACACTAAGGAAAGTGGAAGGAAAGAAGACATATAGATGGATTCAATCCAGTGGTGGGTTCTGGATCCCATTCCAACTGGTACGTTTGGAACGGGCCCTGTGGCATCCACATGGACACATGCAGTGTGCATGCATCTTAGTGCCTCCGTGAGCCTCCACGACGCTCCAGCTGCTCAGCAGAGTGTTGTGCAGGCGCTGTATGTGCCATGCACATGCACGGAAGCCCCGAAGACTTAAAAGACCGGTAAGGAACTCGGGCGGGCAGGTGGGCCCTCCGGAGCACCACACCAGAACGGTATATGGTGCGCTGGCAGGCTCCGGTATGCCTGTATCGGGGTGTACCTCCTGCAACTCACCACTGGTTCAATCATGCTGGCCAATCAGTGCACCATTGGAAGACCCGAAACACCAGGTCAGAGATAGATCATCGTGGAAA